CTCACTATATAACCTTGACCGGCCTGCAACCTGCTGTATAGACAACACTGTTTTGTAACTGTGGTGATCCTCCTGCTTCAGCCTCCCAAGTGCTGGAATTACATGCATGCACCACTATGCCTGCTTATCATTTTGGTTGAGGCAGGGTCCTATTTGAGCCCTAACTGGCCTAGAATTCACTATGTAGAGCAGGCTGGCCTTGAACTCACAGACCCTCCTGCTTCTGCTTCCTGAGTGCTGATTGAAAGTGTGTGCCACCATACCTATCCTGAATTCTTTTTTAAAAAGCTTAATTTCTTTATCTATGTGTGTGTATATAGAGTGTATGTGTAGAGATCAGAAGAGGGTGTTGGGTGTCTTCCTCTATCACTTTATTTTTTTGTGACAGTCTCTCCTTGAACCCAGGCCTCAAGTTTTCTCAACTAGACTGAAAGCCAGGAAGCCCTAGTGCTTTTTCAGTCTCTCTCCTTCCCCCATCTGGGTTATAGGCATGCCTGGGATGTCCACTTTTTATGTGCGCTGAGATATAAACTCTAGTCCTGTGATTGCACAGCAAGTACTTTTAACCACAGCCATTTTGTCCAGTCCCATTGCAATTCCTTAGTCCTAGTTTACTCTGGAGAATCCTAGTTAACTATCTTATCCCCATGTAGTTATTAATATAACCTTTTTTCTCTCTTAAAAGCATCCCAGCTTTGGACAGTAATTTATTTATTTTTAATGTTTTTATTTTATGTGTTATGAGTGTATTGCCTACAAGCATGTAAGTGCACCCATGTCATGCAATACTCATGGAAGTCAGAAGAGGGCATCAGATTCCCCTGTAACGAGTTACAGAAGGTGTTAGCTGGAATTGAACCCGGGTCCTCTGAAAGAGCAGCCAGTGCTCTTAACTGCTGAGCCATCTCTCCAGCCCTGGACAGTCATTTATATGGTCCTATATATTAGTCAAGTTTTTTTTTTGAGGGCAACAAATCCCTTTAAAGTATTAGTGACTCAAATAGCCAATTCTTTAGGATCCCATGGATCTGTCCATCACTTGCAGCTCTGCCCCCAGCTGTGGGTCAAGTTTAGTTTATTCCTCATTCTGAACTTGAAGCCTATGCCATAAATCTTTTTAGGAGACACAGTCTGGAAGATCAGCCTTAATCTGAGAGCTCTTGTTCTTCTGTGCAAGGTCCAAGATCTGCAGTGGGATGGGCTGTGTTGGGTCATCTTCCATTGACTGAGCAATTCACATGTTCAGAATCAACATCAGAGGATTCTGATTTAAAGTGGTTTCTTGGAGGGGAGTGTTGTGGAAGGGGAGAATGAACAGTAAATAGTAACAGTGAGCACTTCACAATTCTGACCCCCACTTTCTCCCAGTGTGCCCCTTCTCCAGCCCTTACAGGTGGCACCTTGCAGTGCCAGTGTCAGAACAAAGCTGAAGTAATTAAGAGTTGGTAGGGAAGGAGTTCTGCCTCATTTGGAGTACAGAATATATTAAGGCATTCTACCACTGTGTGAAGCCTGTTTTATGTTCAGAGTCTACTGGTGGGGGTGGGATTAATGTTTGGGCAGCTGGAGTGGCCCCAGCAATACTGCCTGTTGTAGAAGTTTGCACCATGTGAGCTGTCACAGCGAAGTAGAGCCTGAGGTTACATCTTATTCTCCACTACCCCAGTGATGTTGGTAATCTATGAAGCATGGTGTCTAGTGCCTGTGCCTGTTACTTTTCTTCATGAACCATTCTACCTACCCCCCCAGTCCATCTACCCGAGTTTTTAAAATTTTTTGAGATAAAGTCTTAAGTATACCAGGCTTTCCTTCAACTCATTATGTAACCAAGGATGACCTTGAACTCCTGATTCTCCTACCTCTACCTCTCCAGTGTTCACCAGTGCTGGATAACAGACATGCACCACCATGCGTGCACCACCTAGCACTCTAGGGACTGGACCTAGGACCTCATGAATGCTAGGCAAGCACTCTGTCATCTAAGTTACATCCTTGGCCCTGTGCCTGGGATTTTTAATTTTATTTTTGATTAGTGTTCCTTTACTTATTGATATTAAGTAATCAACACCAGTTGATTTTTCCCCCTAAAATAATTCCACTAAATCCTTAATGTTACTGATTCAGTGATGGATTGATGATGGCATTTCTCATTTCCCATTGCTTATCCTGCTTCATTGGGATTTGTAGAGGCAAAAGGGACAAAGATTTGAACCCACTCACCCTTGTTGAGACAGGAATACCAGTGTTTCAAGCAGAAATATTATTTCACTACAAGTGCAGAGACTAGAGGGAATAGAAGAGATCCATTTGATCCATCACCTGCCTGGCAGCTGACTTTCTCTCAAGAACAGTTTTATGAAGAAACAGTCTTATTATTTCCCAAGAATGATCAAGTGCCTTCAGAGTCAGTCATGCTAAAAAAAATGGATGTTCAAATTATCTCTATTGGTGCAATAATGGCACTTCAACCTTGGGAGTTATCAACAGATGTCCAGTTGGAATTAAGGCTTGTTCAGTAGGAGGGAACTCATGTGTGGTACAGTAAACACAGGCAAGCACACATAGGTACTCACAGACCCTAGAGAAGAACCTACTTCTGTCACTTCCCTAGACCAGTGTAAGTTCTACTATATTCTAAATACATATCTTCCTTTTCACAGACAAGTGTAGCTCTCATGGCTCATCAAAGAAGTTTCTTTTTGCAACAGATGGAGACTATTACAAAGTTCCTCAGCTGGTCAGGTATGGAGAATGAGTGACTGTGAGGTGCCCAGCCCTAAGTGATACATCTACAATGTAGCCTCTACATCTAAGGCTCAGGGAACATTGAGAAAGAGGGAGCAGAAAGAATGTAAGAGCCAGAGGGACAAGACACGTACTACTAGTTAATACTTTCTACATTTTATAGGGAAGCTGCACCAATGAAATCTCCATAATGGTTGTTTAACAAGACCTGCATAATGACAAAACCAGTTGCCCTACCAAGGTGATAGGGGAAATTTCATGGGATCCCACCTCAAGATGAAAAGCTACAGGCAATCATTGGATGCTGAGGGATGGAGAATCACTTTTCTCCAGGGACTAGCTCTCTGAGAAGTTATCTAATCCTAAGTGGTGAGCCCTAAACACAGGTGTACACGAACACCACTAAATGGACTCTGGAACATATGTGTATGTGTGTGTACACACACACACACATATATATATGTATAAACATGCATGTATATGTAACAAAAACAGGAAAAACAAGAAAGTAAGAAGGAGTCAGGGGAACATGGGAGGAGTTGAAGGGAGACTCGGAGAGGTGGAAATAATGCAAATACAACACTCATGTATGAAAGTCTCAAAAAATGAATATTTTTAAATAAGAAGGCCACCTTCACTCAGCAGGTTAAGTGGCTGCATTCTTTAGCAGGAATCCAGCTTGTCATGAGTCATAGAATGCTTGTTGGGATTAAATATTTCTATTGTCTCTAGAATATGAACCTTTGAAGCTATGTAGTCTGTTATCCCACTGTATCTTCAAAGACTAGCACACTGTCTGACACACAGTAGACATTCAGAATACTTCAGTGGAAGCAATGTGGGTATTACTGGTGGCCAGTAGAGGCAAAACCTGGGGCTTGAGTAGAGCAGGGCTGTGTAGAGGCGTCCTTAATATAATGGTGCCAGCAGTGACATCAAGTTGATGCTTTAGCCTCATAGACTTGACCATGGGGTAGGAAGCTAGAAGAGGTTGGATTCTGCCCTGAAAGCCAGGAGCCTAGCTATGGGACCCTGCATGGCCATGGGACCAGGTTCCACATACAGGCAGAGTTATTACCTACCATATACCTTCTCCCTTGGCACTTAAGTGACTGCCTGTTGACCTCAGCTATGGCCTCAGCATTGATGTCAGTGTGGAATTTTCTTCTCTCTGCTGCATCTTATTCTACCTCCCAGTGCTGAAGTGCTGGGTATTTAATGTGCCGCAGAGCTGCCCTCAAATCAATGGAAAGGAGGGGATGGGGTAGCCCAGGACCGTCACTTCTTACATGCGATGGCTCACAGGTATATGGATCCTTCCCAGCAGCTTAGCCTGGAGCCTCCCCCAAGGTGGCAGCTGGCTGGTGCACCACATACTGACTCTTCTCTTGCTTTCCCTGTCTGTGTTTTGTTCATCTTCTGTGTGTAAACTTCTTGTTCTTGAATACATGTCTCAGTGTCTGCTACAGGGGAAACTCAATCTATGACAGTTTGTCCTGGGTCCTGAAAATGTAAGTGGCAGGTGTTCTTAAAGCTATAAAATTCACTAAAGACGTGAACTTTGTTTTTCTTAGACACTTAAAAATTAATATCAATAACAGAAAGAAGCTGTAATTATATCCCAAATTGTATGACTCTTAATGATGACAGGGTAGTTTTTAAAAATATTTTTATTTATTGTTTTTATTTTATGTGTATGATGGTATTGCCTGCATGTGTGAAAGTGCACCCATGACATGCAATGCCCACGGAGGTCAGAAGAAGGCATTGGATTCCCCTGGAACAGGAGTTGCAGGCAGTTGTTAGTTAGCCGCCATGTGGGTGCTGAGAATCAAACCCAGGTCCTCTGTAAGAACAGCCAGTGCTCTTAATCACCGAGCCATCTCTCCAGCCCCAACAGGATAGTTTTTAGATAGCTAAAACTTCCCTGCTCAGAAAACTTTAATGACTAGTGTTGCCTGTAGGATAGCGTCTCATTCAACTTGGAGCCCATTCCTGGAAGTCTGTGAACACACTGTTTTCTGTTGTTTATAAATGCAATCTACATGCAGTGCTGTCTCCTCTGCCTTTGCTCACCAGTGCTCTGGTATGTGTCTGAATTTTCTCATCAGGTGACCCCACAACATACCCCAGCCTGGCCTCCAAGAATTAGCTCCTCGGGAATGAGCAGATGAGGTAGTCATTCTGCCTATACGGTGCAGTGGGTAGACATGAGGGACACAGTGACACTAACCTTTGCTTTTGCTTCTTTGCAGATATCTCTGTGAGCCTGCTAACCCTTGTGGTCACTGCCTGTGGTCTTGCCCTCTTTGGTGTGTCTCTCTTCGTGTCTTGGAAACTCTGCTGGGTTCCGTGGCGAGAACGAGGCCTGTTCTCTGGTAGCAAAGACAACAACCAAGACCCTCTTAACTACACGGACACAGAGATCAATGAGCAGGAGAACAGTGAGGACTTCCTAGACCCACCCACACCTTGCCCTGACTCCTCCATGAAGATCAGTCACACTTCCCCTGACATTCCTCTGTCCAACCAGCCAGGGGTCCAGGAGAACTGTGCCCATGGCGTCCGTGTGCAGCGGCAAGTCACAGAGCCAACACCGTCAGCTCGGTCAGTGATGCCCCTTCCGTCCTTCACCTTATCCTTCTCCCTTGCCAGTGGTCACTGATTTAGTGGGGAGCCTGTAACTGTTTAGTTTCAGATACATGAAGGTGAGAAGACTCTACTTCATGTGCTGAGCTTCGTTCTTGAGCTCCATTTAGTTTCCATGAAGTCCATAAAATTAATGGTTGACATTGTTACCACGTGTCAAGTATGGTACACAAGCTTTATATAATATACATATTATTTTAGTACAGCTTACAGTTCTGAGATGCATACTATTATTTTCCGTTTACAGTAGGAGAATCTTAAAGAGATTAACAAGGTAATATGTTAGGATGTATCCAGGTCAGCCTTTGAATCCTGGTTCAAGTAACACCAGAATCTGAGCTCTTATCTCTATTCCCTGATGTCCTCCTGGAGCTTTTGAATTTGTTCACTGTGCCTCAGACCTAGCCTAGCAATCATAAATAGGCTTGCTTCAGATGCCACGATGTAACTCGAAGTCTCTGCCCATCCCCAGGCTTTGGAGCACCTGCAGACTACCTGGAATGGGGTTTCTGTTCTCTGTATTGTGCTCTTAAGCAGTAGGCAAATGACTGTGCCATGATTGGTGGGCTCTGAGGTATAATTAAATGGTCTCATTTACATATGTGGCACTGAGCAAATTATATAACCTTGATAGGTGTCCATTTCCTGTTCTTTAAAAGAAAAACATTAAAAGTACCAAACTCAGAAGCGGTTTTGAGGATGAATGGATAACGCATGCCTGCACGCATCTGCGCTGGTGTCCGTGGCCTGCACGCATCTGTGCTGGGGTCCGCGGCCTGCACGCATCTGCGCTGGGGTCCGCGGCCTGCACGCATCTGCGCTGGGGTCCGTGGCCTGCACGCATCTGCGCTGGTGTCCGTGGCCTGCACGCATCTGTGCTGGGGTCCGCGGCCTGCACGCATCTGCGCTGGGGTCCGCGGCCTGCACGCATCTCCGCTGGGGTCCGTGGCCTGCACGCATCTCCGCTGGTGTCCGTGGCCTGCACGCATCTGCGCTGGGGTCCGTGGCCTGCACGCATCTCCGCTGGTGTCCGTGGCCTGCACGCATCTGCGCTGGGGTCCGTGGCCTGCACGCATCTCCGCTGGTGTCCGTGGCCTGCACGCATCTGCGCTGGGGTCCGTGGCCTGCACGCATCTCCGCTGGTGTCCGTGGCTTGCACGCATCTGCTCTGGGGTCT